TTTTGTATCATCATTAGTAGGCCTAGTGTTAAAAGTTGTAAAGAGTACCAAATTTAACAAAACAATATAACTTAAAAATTTAATTCAAATATCCAACGGTATTCTCGGTATTGCAAATCCATATCATGGTACAACATAAGGTAGTCATGTTGATACTGGTATAGCGCCCACCCCTAGCACAACCTAAGACTTATTTACTGCTTGATTTGAAAGCAGAATTGCACCAGTCAAGGTCTGTAAGCATTTAAATGTTAAATAGTCCGAGTCTTTTTCTGAATAAACAGCGTAGCTCATGAACAGGAGCAATCCGGAAAGAGCACCATTAATTTTGGATGAAATACAACGCCGACTCTATCCCCATCTCTATCTGACAAGCCTCCCGCTGTAACAGAATGTTTTCTTTATTCAACAGCTTTACAGTTATGCAGCATATCTCAGTGTATCAACCCATGTCAGTGCCTGAGCATCTTAAAAGTGCACACACAAAGCACAACCCTCTATCCTTTTTCCTTACATTTTTCACAGACTGGAAAAGATTAATCGAATCGTTTGCAAGTTCCTAAAATAACCCCTCTAGTACAGGCACAGGAGCATTCTGCTTATTCAATTTTCCGTCATCAAGCTGGCATCCAACCCAGACTGTCTGAGCGCTCTCTCTCTTTTTGATTACTTATTGATTTGAGCAGCTTCGGAGGAGCATAAACATAATGGAGGACGTTCTCAAAGCACCAGCATGTTTGCCAATGTGAATGCCTCTTCAGTGAGATTCTGGTTACCAAAAAAAAAAAAAAAAAAAAAAAGCAAAATATCTTTTTACAGCTATAGATTGAATTGTGCATGTTTGAATTCTGAACATAAATACAGAAAGAATAGTAATAAGTGCTGTTCTCCCTTGAGAATGCTGTTTGCGTGTTTTTATTAGTTCAGGGAATAAAGAAATCATGGAATTAAATGTAATACCTTTTTAAGACCTTTTTAAAGACCCTTCCATACATTAAGACCTCATCGCCACTTGAAGTTTTAACTGTTACATTACATTCATTTAGAGTTGGTTGGACTGAAAGGGGAAAAAACAATAATAATAATAATTGGGTCAGTCCTAAATTGACAGGGTCGGTCGGGTTAGGGCAAACAAGAATATTTTTAAAGATGCTCTGACTCAAGTGTATAACTACATTTGCACTGCTTGAGCTTAAACGCTTTTGTTCTTTGATGGTTCATAAAACTTAGAACCGGTTCTCAATTCACATCTCACAAACACAACAACTCTGTCATGTCCGTAGCCATTATGCCCGATATTTTATAACATGACAAAATTCAATTGTAATAAACATTTTATTAGGTTATTTATTTCGTTATGAACATTCACCCACCAGTGGGACGGATCCCTTTTGAGATTTACTCACCAAATGGAAAATCTACCCGCATTTGGCGCTTGGCGGGTGTTAATTTCAGAACCTGTGCATTTTGCATGCATGCTATTTGAATGGCGGACTGCTATGCAACTTCCATAAATCAGTGTGCAATGGAAGGAGTGTTTACCAAGTACTAAAGCTGCTACAATGAGCTCTTCAGAGGAAGCAAACAAACACTGGATTCACCAAAGCGTGCAAGGTGCATGGTATAAAATCCTTAAAAGATATTTGAGAGGCACTTAGCATCAAGTAAACTTGATATTCTCTATAGTCAGGACTGTTTACAGAAATTCCACTTAAATAATTGCTACTCATTACTTTTAGATGGATGAAAATTCTGACCACAAAGTTGCAAGACATTAAACAAATTGCTTAAAGTGTAGTCTGTGCAAGCTTTCACAGAGATTGCTGTATCAGTACTTGAAAGCGCCGCCACTTTGCACATTGATTATTACGGTATCATCGATTTCACTTTTACCTGCTTCTAAATGTCACACAGCTAGAAACTCAGGCTGGTTATGTCAACTTTTCTTCTGGGAGTAGCTTATTATTGGCCAGAACAATATTGTGGTGAACTGTTAAATGTTTTACACAGTGAGTATAATATACTGATGTTTTGTGAATATGAGGGCAGAAACTAAACCTCTGAAGAGAAACTGCATTAATGAACTAAATCACCCTTTTTAAATTATAGCTATAGGTATGCGTGGGCACCGTGTTGAGGTCTACAGCAGGGGATGAACAATGCTTTGAGGAAAACATAAGATGTTTAAATTGGAGCTCAAATTAAACTAAGGTTGTTTTTACACTGGAAGTTAGTTCAGAACGGGGAACTGTTCACATGAAAAATTGCTAATTTGAAAGCAATAATGTGGACCTGGGGGCGCACTGAGGTCCTAAACCCGAGACAACCTGGAGGAGGTAGTCTGAGTTTGGTTGCACTTGAACTGTGCAGTGACTTGCATGAATGTAAAGGCAACAGGGACTCAGGTGCGCACTTGGGACAGCAGTGGCTCAGTGGTTCATAGTTTGTCTACAAACCGAAAGGTTGGTGGTTCAATCTCCGGTTCCAACTGACCAATTATCGAGGTGTTCATGAGCAAGACACCTAACCCCAGCTGCTCTTGATGAGCTGGATGGTGCCTTGCATGGCTTACACCACCGTCGGTGAGTGAATGTGAGGCAAATGTAAAGCGCTTTGGTGGCCATTGGGTCTATGAAAAGCGCTATATAAATACAGTCCATTTACCATTACCATTTTGTTCAGGAAGAAAAAAAGTAACTTGTTTGTGACGACGTAAGATGAATGCAAATACACCAGTGTTTGAGAAAATCAAGTTAAGAGGAAAAACTAGACCAGCGCTGGGAACAATCACGCTCGAGCCGCAGCAAACATGCTCAGTGTAAAAATGGCCTAAGAGATATACAGAAAAAATAAATATCAGCATTTTTACCACTGTGAGCCATTCTGCAAAAGGAATGGCATTCGGAAAATACCTTTATCACCAGATAGATTGCTGCATAAGTTGTGTTAAAGGATCATACCCGTATCCATGAATGCCACCCAAAAGGTTGGGTTTTCTGAAGTTGAGAATTCTGAAACTCATTTTTATTAGAATATTGAATATTGTTGTGGACAATGGCCTTGGAGTCAAAAATGTTGAGAGACAGTGTCTTAACCCATCAGAAGTGTGATGCGTTTTTCGCCCATCAAACATTGTGTAGGCCATCCTACAGAAAGAAGGAATGTAGTGAGAATGTAGTGTCTGAATCAGTCAAGTTAAGCGTATATTCAGCTTCATAAGCTGTTGTCTTTTAGTTTGTCGTGAAAGGCTCTATTTTACTAATGTTGCATTTGATTAATTTGACAACACCAAGATGTAATGCTTTTCTGCTTCATCTCAGATTACAATGGTCTCAAGGGTATCTTTGTAGGAGGGAGTTTTGGAAAAAACAAGGCATATCTTTTTCAGCAGCACCGCACCGCTAACTGCATCAATTCTTAAAAAAAAAAAAAAACCTAGTCAGCATTGCTGTACATTACAGTAAGAAAGAAGTGCTCTTTGCAAACTCACACGCAGCAGGATGTAAATGCATTCATAAATTCACCCTTATGTAGCTGGCAAAGACCTCAGATCACCGCTCGCTCACATTCTGGCTGGGAGCAGCGAGGCAAAGATCCACTGTCAGGGTTGACAACGGCGCATGGCATAGCACTGAGCAAATGTGCATGAAAGCTGTGCTGTTCCACAGCCCCCAAGACACTGAAACATTCATTACAGACAGAGAACAAATTGAAAGGGCAGATTCCATCAGACCACAATGACAAACTTACTCGGCTCACAACTCTAATAGAGAGACAACCCCTGACACGTTCCAGAATCTCACGATGCAGTGCATGCAGGGTCACACACACACACCAAACTGTGGCATCCGGGAAAATGAGAGCAGAGAGGTCAAGTAACGAAGTACAAATACAACCGCGGGATAAGTGGCAAAGATAATCATGAGTGAGAGCAATCCTACATTATAGGGTCAAAATATCCCCACAAAGATGCCAATGTCCGAAAACTTTGTCCTTGTGGGGGATATTTTTTATTTTTTTTGCAAAAATTCTATCTTCCGCTTCATGAAACACATAGTGATGCTCAGTAGTACACATATGTGGTTCTTTAATGTATTTGCATTGTACTAAAATTGAAATATAACTGAAATTCATTTTCCATGGGCATATGGAACAGGTAGTCCCAAATTGTTCAACATTAACATTTTAATATAACATTATAGTCATTATGGCTGTTAGAAAAAGTTTTTTTTTTTTTTTTTAAGGAGGTGGGGCAATGTACTATAGGCCCCTGTGGCACGGTCTAAGCATTTGTCCTTAATGGATTTTTTTCCTACATTACTTTTACAGAAGTCTTTTTAAACCCTAGTATCTATACTTTTACTTGAGTAATGAATGTGAACACTTTTGACACCTCTGAATGAGAGCCCTGGGGCAGAGATACCAGAATTCCCAAGATATATCCTAAGATCTGGTCTCATCTTCCCTAGCATCTCCTAAGGTCACAGCAATGTCGAGGGGACAAACATCTAAAAATAACCTTATTGCTTCCATTTATAGAACACAAAAAGCAAAGCCACAGATCCATTTTCTCCTAAATTGCTAATTTTTTTTAACAATTCTTTTGTCTTTCCACAAAGCTGCTCCGAGCGATAAAGATTTCCAGTCAGGGCAGCTTAATTTACTGTTGGAACAATCCATTTCAATGAGTTTTCAGGACCATTCCATTAACGTTCTAATGCATATTACATTTTGTTCAAGATTTATGTATTTATCAGCATTGCCTTGTCAATATCTTTGACAATAGACAAAAGGGGATAAATGAGAAGCAAAAAACATTTCCCAAAGTGTGGGTCAAGGGACGCAAATAATAAATCACAGACATTGACATTTCTTTATGTGGAATAAATTTATTTTCTAACACTGTGTCCTAATCAGACTTGATGAACTATGAACTCAATGTGAACTTAAGTGTAGTCTATGACAAAGCTGGTTTCAGTTACATTTTTTAATTTTATTACCTGGTCTTGTGCAGTTCTTCTCCTCAGTCTCATTGTCTCCCGCTATGGCCATAAGCCTTCGCCCCAAGTGATCTCTTTGAGCAGCAAAACCTTCCTGTATCACCAGCCCATGACCTGTGTATGAAGATGTATCTCATTACATAAAATAAAATATTCAGAATTATCTGTAAATATAGAAACTTAGGCTTTACATGTATTGTATAAAATATAAAAGATAAAATAAAATTTATCTTAGTATTTTGTTAACCTGACACATTTCTGAAAAAGTGTTCATTTAAACAGTAAAACATTGTTTAAATATAACTTAAATGTCACTGAATAATTTATGTTTGTACATCACCTTGCATTACATTTTATATCATCGACCCAAATATTTAATGAACGGTTAACAACTTGGAGCTAATTAGCCAAATTACTTGTCGTTTTGGGGTTTGGTGTGTGATACTGTGGCCATGATCTGCCAGGCTTTCTGTTTTAATCAGTGTTCCTACAGGATGTGCATTGTATCATGGTTAGCAGCACCAAGGGGTATTTATTTTGGGAAAATCTCAAAGAAAAAAAACTAATAGGTGTGAAGATCCAGCCATGCATACTTTACAAACAGCCAGAGCTTGAATTAGGATTTTGTGTCTGCATGTCTATGCTTCAGCACATCACTTTTCCATGAGGATATGCAATGAGGTCCACAAAACAAAAAAAAACAGGATAATTACATTTATCTTGTTATGAAACTAAGCATAGCACATTTAGTGGGGCATATTTATTGGACAGTTGGCATTACAGCTGTTAATCACTGAACACATTGTTTATTCATATTATAAAATAATAATTAAAAAAAACACCCAAAAACAAAAATTCGATAAAAAAAAAAAAAATTAAAATGTGTGGTTACTGTATAGCATGACAATTATCCAACAGAATGACTAGGCAGCTGTAGCCATAATTCGAGTTGGCAATCTGTTCTATTTTTGAGGATTTATGATATTCAATAGCATAGACACTTCTTGAACGCCTGATTCTTTCACCAATGTGGTCTGATAATTTGTATAATCGGATAATTTTACCTCTATATGATGGCTTTTATTTGCATAGGCTAAACATTGAGCAGCGAACATAAACAGAAGCTTGACCAAACCTGCTTGAAATGCAAAAACAAACCTCATTGGCTCTTGCACGTCAAGTGAATATGCTTGAGCTTCCATTTTTTTTTATAAGATATGTTGCTTCTGTATTCACAATAAAACTTGCTTCTGTATTCACAATAAAAATGTTGTTGTTAATTTATTTTAAACTTAATAGATATCATGTAAAAAAATCTAGTAATGAATATTGCGGGAAAATTCTTAAGTATCGAAAATAATCAAATCGTTGGTTTAAGAAATCGGTATCACATCGAATCGAATCTTCAGGGCTCCGATTTACTCCTACCTAGAGTGACATACTATTGCATTTGTGTTATGTATTGCAATAAATGTGAAAAGACAGAAGCGACAGCTTGTGCGGACTCATGTGTTCTACTACAACAACTCTTCCTCTTCTCATGGACTCATCACATTGGCCATTGTTGTGGGTTCCTGAGGGCAAGGTTTATGTACATTTTAGGGTTTGTGATGTCACACCCAGGAAGAACCTTGTGTAGTATTACTCTGTTTATTCTCAAACAGCAACATTACACACTAAGTAAAGTTAGAAAAATAAAATCATAATTAACCACCCATTTAAATTATTTCCAATGCCAGTTTAATATACAAAAAAAATATATAACAATTCCCCTGAAAAGTGCAACAAAAAAAAACTTTAAAGAAAAAATGTTTTACCAAAATGGTGTTTTTGATGAGGGTGATGACAACTTTCATTTTCGGGTGACCAATTTCTTTATACAAAAAAAGATATTTTATCTCTTGATTCTGAATGAATGAATACTTGCGATGCATTAGTTGCAGCCAGATAGACACTGAAATCAACGCCAGCAAAACCTGTCAAAATATTTCAACTGCTCCTGATTCAGGAACAGAATGACCCACTTACAGCTTATAAGTAGCAGAAAAAAAGTTCCAGTAAAGTTGTGTAACAAACTGTCACAGGAGGACAGGATAATAAACTCAACAGCCATAAAGTTTGTTAAGCAGCATTTTTAGCCCGCACTAACTTCTTTAGTTATTGATGGAGCTAAATGAGAAGATGCAAAAGAACAGGAATGAGAATTGGGAAGCAGGAGTAATCACAGCAGGAGTACACAGCAGATGGGCTCCTGACAGACTCATCAGATATGCCAGTATTCGGAGAGCCATTAAGCAGAAAGCACATATTCAGCATCCTCATCATTACAATATCATGTGCAGGTAATCCCTTAAGCTGCTTGTAATTTTGCCGTAATTAAAGTCAACCGCACCCACTAGTATTGCTCAGCCAGACAGGCAATGCTGTACACTTTGCAGACAATGAGAGTAAGTGGAAAAGTGTGATATAAATCGCCTGTAATGAGAAATCTGATTTGCTTGTACGGCAGGAAAGGGCTGTACGATTAATCATATTTTAATCACGATAATGATATCTGCTTCGCTTGATTAATTCAAAATAATCGCCACCATATTGGCTCGCTCGTTATTTATCCTGAGAACGATTTTTTATTTGACATTTGGTCATCTTGCATTGGTAACAAGTCCTAGCTAACATTGATGTTTGTGGTTGCCAGATGTAAAGAGCTTAAATCCCCCAAACCAGTGTTGGTCAACTTAATCACGGTCCCCGAACTGATTTGCGATCTTCACAATTTTGAGATGTACTATCGAGAATATCCAGACTGGAACAAGCCTATGGACTTATCTATTTGCACACTTTAAAACACAATATTGCATTAAACAACCAGTAGTCAAAATAGTAATTAAAACACTACATAGTCTTTAAGACCGAATGCATGAATCTAATATAACAGGGTTTTTCCTACATAGAGAATTACGAGGCAATCAAATATCATACTGCCTCCGGCTAATGAACGAATCTTTTTCCGAGTCATTTTGTTTATTCAACGAACAAAACAAATGAACTGACTCAGAAAAAGATTAGTTCATTTTGATGAATGAGTTCGAACAGGAGAGTCAAGAACGAGCATCGCAGTACAGAGCAAGGTGAGCATTTGGGCTTATAAAACTTATAAAAGCCAGGTAAAAAGGATTTCTATGAGACCATGTACTTGATTTCGAGGTTTTTAACTAAGATGTTTTCTGTTGGAGAAATTAATAGAAGCAAGGTTTGATTGCTTCTATTGCTCTCCTCATTTGTAAGTAACTTAAATTGGATAAGTGTCTGCTAAATGATTAAATGTAAAAATGAAACAAAAATATTTAATAATAAAAGATTTTCCCATTGTTCCTTGCAAAATACTGACTTCAAAACTCTTTTAAAATATTGTACATTTTATCACATTTTGATGTTTGCATCACATAACCAGCTCCATATGGTTTTCCCAGACATAGTAAACTTGGTACAATACTGCACTTTCAATGCAAAGTCAGGGCTTTGGACTCATTCTTCCCACTGGTCACACTGGTGTGATGAACTTTCTCAGTTGGTCACACATTTTTTTTGCTACAACATGGGACTAAGCAATGAATACTGAAGAATAGTTGTCTTTGTCTGCTTATACCCTAGCTTTGCACTGATGTAAAAAGACTGACAGTGACAAGACCTCATGTTAGCAAAATGTTTTAATCTTTTAACTATCAAATGTAACAAATAGGCTTGCTGCGGTGCACAGCGCCCTACTGTCCTTTAGATTTTTATAATAGTAATACAAATAATTTTGCTTAGTTAGAGAATAGACACTTCAATTAAAAGCTAAACATGTCGCAGTACAGATCAACATTTCGCCTTACACTGACAACAAGATGATGGCAAAAGGTTTAAAATCTAAATGTAAAAGCGCCCATTTTAGAGGGTTTGTCATTTTACTGTTTTGCTGTTGTGTTTGAATAATAATGAACCCACCATTCAAGCAATTGCCACCCCGAAATTTGGAAATTTAAAATGTGCACAGCACACAGGTAAGTGGGAAAAACTCCTACGAGAGTTGATAATATGACAGATTAGACAAGGCACTAATGCAAGGCAGGCAGACACCAATTAAAAATTGTATTTTAAGAACATCCATTTTTGTTTGGTTGGTTAATGTATTTTCAGTCTTTGTCTTTCTCTTTGTGACACAAGTAACTTGTGTAAGGAATTCATCAAGCACAACATCACACAGAGAAAAAGACAGTACAAAATATAATTAATTATTGAGTAATGAGCATAGTGTTTAAAATGTTTAAGGGGCATTGGTAACATTTGTTGAGTCTCATCTTGCTTAGCCCAGTTATCATTTGCTGATGGAAACAGATGTGAATAAAGATGGTGTTTATATTTGGTTGTTAATGCATTTATACTCGCAAGTACCCAAATAAAGAAATGAAATGGGCATTTACATCCCTTGGGTGGTGGGAAGATATAGGGCATGAAGTCCCAACCCTACATTTTTTTTTTTTTTTTGATATCCCATTAAAGTCACATGTACATGACAACATACTTTGTAGAAGAAGAAAAAAATCTGTCGCGACTTCGGTTTCGTGGGTTCTTTAAGAGCTAAAAGATACCAAGAAAGTTGTTCCCTTGTTAAATATCTTCTTTTTTTTTTTGCAACAATAGAGTAAATTATATTCATGGTTGTTAGAACATAAGTGTCAGGCAAATAGCAACAAAGTATCAAAGTATCAGACAAAGTAGCAACAAAGTCGGCATGAAACAGAATTTGCGAGCAATAGACTTTCCCTTTTTTGAAGTATATACAAGCGAAACTGATTCTAGAAAAAGAAAAAAAATGTAGGACAGAACTTGATTTTGTCCATCGTTTTGGTTTGCTATTGGTGCAATCTCGTGTGAGTGACAGGTGGATCCCGCCCTCATGTCAGTAAACACGTCACCAGAGAAGAGATGTTGCTGCAAGAGGGAGGGGATTAAGGGGAAGCTATTTTGATGAAAAATTACAAGAGATGTTCTACTACAGTATCTACATTCAATGAAATCTAATATTCATGAAAGTACACCAAGCAATTAATTCAATGTAACATTCAAGAAACTCAAGTAACACGTTGACTCCGCCCTTCAAAATACTGACCCGCCCATATAAGCGTTTGAGACTCGATTCAAACTCTGACAGCTTGAAATGGCAGAATGTTGCCATCGAATGATATGAAACGGTGCATTCATTTGTTTTTATCATAGCCTACCGTTATAGACGAACAGAAACAAAAACTATATGTGCAAATGACATTTTGGAAATGAAACGGCTTGAAATGAGCCTTGTTTGTCTCATTGCGTTAGACTTAAACACACAAATGACAATATAACGTTACAGTACAACGTGTAGCCTAACAACAGTATACCAACCGACATAATTAGCATACAGAGATAGGCTAGCTATCCTACAAAACACCGGACGATGCTTCCAACCGTCTTCATTATTTGAATTCTGAGAAAAAATGATGCTCGCCTGTTAATAATTCAACGTCTGACGTCCCAAAAAAAGGACAAGCATGTACTGCCACCTTGTATCGGCGAATCAATAATACATTAAGTTATACGATAATGACTCTCATAATTAGCGATGTATCACCAAACCATATAGGGACAATCACTTACCCGTCTTTGTGAGCAACGCCGACATACACCAAGCCAATAACAGGACGCTGCAGATGAAGCACACCTGCACGAACAGCATTTCTCTCCTTTTGCGAACTTTAAAAATTTTGGAGATCATGTTCTTTTTTGACATACTGCAGCTCTGCTCCAGCTCCGTGGTCGTCTGAGGCTGTGTCATTTTGTAAGAGTAATTTCTCCTCCGAGTCGAAGCCACACAGATGGCCGGGACCGCAGGAAATCAGGCTCGGGATGAGGTCCTCCTCATGTCCAGAGCGCGGATCCCGTGTTCAGTGTTGCAGGAGCGCGCGGCGGCGTGCATGTGAGAGGTTCCGTCCCGGTGCCTCCACGCGCTCGTTCTGCTGTTGTATTACTAAAGCAACCCGCTTGAGAATTGTGTCCTACTCCTGTTGCTTGAGAAACGCTAATTATAATCAGCTGAAATGAATCACTGGACGGTATGCAGCCGCGGGCTTCACAGTTGTCTGGTGAAAATAGGACTAAAACATTTTATTTGGCATAAGAACCAATACAGTGCGAGCTAGATATGATGTCATTTGGTCATTTCGTGAAATAAATAAGAACCGTGTCAGTAAACATCTTTCGGGTCCGTGCTCTCAAGTTGAGGTTTCATCTCCCTCTCTCACGCAGCTGCCGACTTCTACATGATGTGAGGGACTGTTACGCGCGTTCACGTGATACTGATGACGTATACACTCTGAGCCTACTACACTCACTGGACTACTATAATCCTTGGAAAAGGCATGGCTTCTACCATACAAATTGTGTAGGCTATTTGATCAAGCAACTGAAGGTCATTCTAAAATCATACGTAAAATAGCCTACTATCACACTAATAAATTATATCAATTCTAAAATCAGTAATGATCATTTTATTTTGTGAATCTTGCGTCAATGGAACATTTTTCTTTAAGGGTAGCAATTTTCAGCACTAAGTTTGCCTTAATTATATGATGCAATATGTTATTTTCTATTTTCTACCACTCAAATGTTTGAGGTCAGATTATTCAAAAATAATTGTATTCTTTTACTTAGCAAGGATGCATTTATTTAATTAGTAATAATATTTCACATTGTTTATGTGTAACTGTATTTTAATTAAATAAATTGTTTGTAGAGCATAAGTGATTTTTAATGATATACTGTATATTCACACTTTAACTAAAACATTATCCTCAGATCAAGTTTGAGATCTTCATACAAGATCTGCATACATCTCAATAATGTTAATCGTCGACCATTTCAAAAAACAAAAATGTAGGCCTATTAAAAAATTGCCATTCAGTGTTTTCATCAATTACCAAAAAGATTACTAATATTTAATATTAGTACTGGCATTTAATATTTAAATACCCGTATATTACAGTATTTAATACATATAGCAATAGGCTACTGTGAAAAACAGTATAAACAAACACTAAACTGTCATAAATTAATCCTTGGTGAGTCACTTAGACTAAGGTATAAAGCAGCTTACATGGTGACGAATAGCTGAGCAACATTTTTTCCAGGCTTTTTCATGGGTTCTTATGTGTGAGGCCCTACAATTACAAATTACAAAAAAGTGGTTCATAAACTTAGTAATCCATGTGACCCCAGGATGCAATGGTTGTACTTTTAAAGGAGGAAAAAAAATCATTTTTTTTTTTGTCCCCTGTTTGAATGATGTAAAGTTTAAGAAAATGTCCAGGTCAGTTCTTTAATATGATTTTATTTTATTTATCTAGTCACAAAAAGGAAAAACTGTATTTTCAAGAAAAGAGTGCACATGTTAAATCAGCATGCCTAAAATTGAAGCACAGAATTGGTAATGGTTATACTCTCACAACCAAATGGTGTGCAGTGAAAAAATACGTATGAATATATTATAAACATATAGTGAACAGTGTAGTGATGTGAAGGCCAATGGCAATCCAAACTCAGAATTTGTGCTCTGCATTTAACCTATCCAACTTAGAAAAAAAAATAAAAATAAAGACAATTACCATTTGCAACCCATACTCAAGTCAACAAACGATATGTCCCAAAATGTCTGCAATGAAAAAAGTCCTCAGCCTCAATATTAGCTGATGTTTCTCAGACTTGTTCACTTCAGACCTCCTTTTTCATTAATGCAACCTGGGTTTTGACCTAATAACCTCAACGTCATTCGCATTTACGGAATCTGGTAGATTAGTCATCGGTTTCCATCCACATATAATGTAGTTTGTGTGAGCCAAATGTTTTCAACCTTTTTGATAGAAATACTGTTTTTGACTTCAGGTTGTCGTCTGGCTCGGTTCACTGCATCAATAATATTTTCTGAGAACAGAGGCCACTTCCTTCCTATAGTCTCAGCCTCAGTCAGTGAACCATGCTGGTGGTCAAAAATATGGTTCTGGTTAGACTACTTTCTGTCTTCATATGTAGGGCAATGTTGTGCCCAGTGCTTTTGGATTACTGACTGTTACACTTTTATCGACTGAGACAGTCAGTAAGATTGATGGTTGGGAGTGAAAATCATTTGGTTACTCTGATTGCCATGGAGGGTCACCCATGTTTTCACTGAAAACCTCTGTTGTCTTGCCATCACAGCCAGCAGCCATATCCATAACCAGTCTTGTAGCCCAAGACTGGTTGCCCACAGAAACTAAGCAGGGTTGAGCCTGGTTATACCTGTAAGGGAGATCTTCTGGGAAAACTGGAAGAGGTGTTAGTGAGATCAGAGCGTGTGATGGGGACACTATACTGTAACAAACACCAGCATTCGGATGAGACGTTAAAACCGAGGTCCTGGCTTTCTGTGGTCATTAAAAATCCCATGGCACTTTTCCTAAAGAGTAGGGGTGTAACCCGGTGTCCTGGCCAAATTCCATCCATTGGCCCTTGCCAATCCTGGTCTCTTAATGAGACCCATTCATTGAATTGGTTCTATCACTCTCTCTCCTCTCCACTGATAGCTGGAGTGTGGTGAGCGCACTGGAACTGTTGTACTGTGGCTGCCATCGCATAATCCAAGTGGATGCTGCACACTGGTGGTGGTTGAGGAGAGATCCCGCGATATGACTGTAAAGTGCTTTAGGTGTCCAGTATACATATAGAAGCGCTACACTCTTAGAAGAAAAGGTTCTATAAAGAACCTTAAAAGGTTCTATCAGCACTACGTATTTGGAACCCCTAAAAGGTTCTATACACTCTTAAAAAAAGGGTTCCTCTGGGTTCTATATAGAACCCTGGGGTTCCATACTTGGCCAATAGAACCTTTTACCAAAACATTTTTTTTTTTTGGAGTTCCATATATGAAGCGAGGGATGGAACCATTTCTGGTTCTAAATAGAACCATTTCTTCTAAGAGTGTATAGATCATGCACGTCCAACGCATTCTCACCCCAAGGCGTCACCTTTAACCATGCTTCAATATTTGACGTTTTAGGCGCGTCAGTACGGCGTCATCTAACTGACGCTAAAGGAAAGCGTCAGTTAGAGGACGCGGTTAGGTTTAGGTGTGGGGTGGGGGTAGGGTACACACGATCCTAGGGCGTCATCTAACTGACGCTAAAGGGCGCCTAAAGCGTCAGATATTGAAGCATGGTCAAATGCAGAAAGTGAGTTAAGTGACGTTAAGTGGCGCCTTGGGGGTGAGAATGGGCTGGCACGTCACATACGATGGATTTCGCAGAAAATCCGACCCGGAGACTTCACATAGAAATAGGAATACCGGCCTTCAGAGGTAATAGCAAAACCCGACAGGTGGATCATTGCAATGTGTGATTACAATCCCTTCACACACAGGCTATGAAAAAAGCATTCATTTTAGAAGAAAAGTTACATCTAGCACCTTTAAAGGTGCCCATGAGAATTATGTCCCACAGGAGAAGAATGTAATTTATTATCACAGAACATTTATTCCATTTCCCAGCAGGGCTTTCTTACAGAATGTTTTCCTGTAACCAATTGGTACTTAAAGAAGGATTCATGTTGCTAACCTCTCTCAATCGCTCATTCCTTAAATCATGTGTTTAGCTCAGATGACTTGCTTCCCTTGACAATAATGACGAAAGACTTGAGCCTTTTTCCATGTTAAAAGGAAGGGAATTTTATGAAAGCACTGAGAAAGACTGAGACCGTTTTAATTAACAGGTTAACTGCTGCAGTCACAGTTGTATTGTGGTTTTGATCAGCCCATTCTCACCCCCAAGGCGTCACCTAACTGACCATTTGACCATGCTTCAATATCTGACGCTTTAGGCGCCCTTTAGCGTCAGTTAGATGACGCCCTAGGATCGCGTGTACCCCACCCCACACCTACGTAAACCTAACCGCGTCTTCTAACTGACGCTTTCCTTTAGCGTCAGTTTGTTGACGCCGTAGGATCGCGTCATGTAAGTGACGCTAAAGGGCGCCTAAAACGTCAAATATTGAAGCATGGTCAAAGGCGACGCCTTGGGGTGAGAATGTGTTGTTTTGATGCTACGTTGTGCTGTTCAAAGATATACAGTAGCTTATAGTGTTCTTGCAGAACAGACATGAGACGACCATGACATTAAGACCAAACACATTAGTACATGGATTTTATGGCAGATGATGTGGAATCAGCCATGTTGTTGGACTATGTGAACTGTTAATTTGGGACTTTCTTTAATTGCTCAGGGTTTCAGCTTTCAAATAAACATAACAATGTCATGCTGACTAACTTGGACTGAAATAATGTGTGTTTTTCCTTAGCGCTCTGCTGCCTCAGAGATCAAAATGATGACTCCTAGGGATGATCAAGCAAGATTTAATGCTGTCACTCAAAATATTCACAGCTGCTTACCTCAGCTGTAACTGGATCATGCTCAACATGTACATTAAAGTGGAGTATAGCCAAACGTCATTGTGGAAATCCAGAATCCAGAGACTTAAACTTGACGACTCTTTGTTGATCCCTTTCAAGTCAATCTGTTGACCCGACTCCCTGTATTTGATAAAGCAGCGAAAGGCTAAAAACAAATTGTTTATTTCCCCTTTGCGTGCTATCGGAATAAATACAAGTTACCTAGTGGGAAAACGAACAGGAACAGCATCTAAAGTCATATTTACGACTGGGAAACTTTTGGATACTGAGTTTCCAAGTTCCAATATATATATATATATATATATATATATATATATATATATATATATATATATATATATATATATTGACAAGACAAGACTACAGTAACTGGACAGAAAGAGACATGGGCAAGAAAATGTTGAAATTAAGTTATATATTTTTATATTTTATTTATATGTAAATATATATTGTGTAAATTAGTTTATCATGCTAATATGTGCTATTTCTAAATATAGTTGTTATGCACTATTTTTTGAAAAGTTTGTTCAACAAAACATTATTTGTTTAATCAGACTTGCCCTTTTGTACAAACCTAAATTAATTGTGTGTAAATGTTTGCTGTGAAATTCAACTTCGAGAACAGCTCCAAAACAGAACAAAAAACTCACACGAGTTTACTAATGTTTTCAGAGACTGCAGAAGATCCACATTTAGCATTTCTGCACCCACCAAAATTATCATGCTGAAGTCAGTGAGTTTTTGGTTAAATACCTGAAATAAGGTCTGTGGTTTATGCAAGCTCAAGATATAGTGACGTTTCATTCTAAAACATTAATACCCCTTGTTTTGTTTTTTCTTA